AGTATATATATATATATATATATATATATATATTATATATATCTTACTTTACTAGTATAAAATTATTAAAATAACTGTTACAAATATGATAACTCAAGAAAAACTAGAGATTTCTAACATTAAAAATTTAGAACTTAGAAAATTAAAATCTAAAACAAACACACAGGAAAATGAAAACAAAAGGATAAGTTAATATAAAATAAGCTAACATAACATTCACAAAATAACATTATATTTTCGACTCAAACTAAACAAAACACTTAAACAAGTAAGATATCTAGACTCAAAATCCAGATACATGTGTTATTGTCAAGCTATGACAAGTTGTACAACCTATAATAAAAATTTAGTTTGTTAAAACGCTATTTGTTAATGGTATCGATCCCAAACTAGGACCTCCTATTATTCTCACCACATGACACCCGTATCCACTTGAGAATAAATGATCATTAGAGTGTTAAGATAATTCCAAGACTAAGCTCCTAAAATAATACATAGACTATATGTCACCAACATGGAATCTCTCCACGAGAGTTATGAAACCATACATATTAATATTCAATATTTCATTTCATGAAGCATCATGCATACCATCATATTCATCCACTATAAATCATAAATATTCATTTTCTTATGAGATAATCGATTAATCCCGAGAGTTTTAAGTAAAAACAGCAATACCTACTGAAATAATTGATTATCAAGTCTGATAATCAATTATCTCAAAATACCTACTACAATAATCTATTATTAGATCTAATAATCGATTATTCCATAGAGTTATGCATCAAATAAGCAAATATGACTAAAATAATTAATTATCAGATCTGGTAATCGATTATTCATGTTAGTTTTTTTTTTACAACAACATGATTTTTCTAACTTGGTTACCCCCAATACTCATCCAAATGATCAAAATGGCATCCTAGACACTAGAATTGATCCAAAAACAAATCTAAAATCTAAAATAAATACCAATTTGGTGATTTGGTCAAGAATTAAGGTTCAACCAATCAACATACAACTCACAACTCATATATCAGAGTTCAAATGCTTTAAACCAAAATTTTAAAATATTAAATGGCATCTAGGAAAACACCAAACAACACTTTTACTCTTATTTCACTACTTTCGATTCTAAAATAGATTTGTACCTCTTAGGACTCCAAAACTGCAACATTCAAAATTCAAGCAAATACCAATTCATAATCATTCACAACAACATTCATCAATAATCCAATTTCATTCATCAAACACATTTTTTACTAAATAATTATCTAAAATGATAACATATTCAACCAAACATCATTATCACAATCTACCAAACATAATTTCATACTTCTTGACACAAATTAAAACAAATACTAGCTTTCCTTACCTCTTTGAAGACTAACGATTCTATAAAACTCTCATTCAGCTACCACATGTCAAATAATACTAATAGCACCTACAAACAACAAAAACATGATCAAGATACACCATTAAAATCATTCCAATTTGATACGTTGTAGTTGAATTTGGGGTTAAAGTAACCATGAGTCATTTCCCAACGAATACGAGATTGCTTTTCAATATTTGATTCTTATGAAGGCTCTGAAAGGTTAGTAAATACTATGCAATGCTTAAAAATAAGAATGAAAATATATCTTAATGAATTTAATGTTGAAGAATGTTGTGAGTTAAATAGAATAACAAATGAGAAACTTAGAAACAATAATAATAAAATAGGCTAATAACATTATTTTTCCAAGATAGATCCATCATCAGTTATCCACATATTATTGCTCAATCGATTATTGTTCAGGTTTCAAATTAATTAAAGTACATTTCTAATTAACTTGAGGAGGATCTTAGAATTAATCAAAGTAAATTCTCAATCAAAAGCAATACCTTTCTAGATTATTTACAATATATTCAACCAAAGTACATTCTCAATCGAATCTTATTATGTTTAATCATGTTTGTTCTTAAATCTCTTAAACCAAATTAAAAGTTAATTAATCAAAGTAAACTCTCAATCACTTATAGTTGAAATTCTTACCACCAATCAAAGCACATTCTCAATTAGTAGCAAGACTCTAATCATGTGAAAGTTCTTAAATTCAATCAAAGTACATTCTCAATCAAACCTAGAAACATGTCAAAATCATTACTTTTAACGTGATTGAAAGATGAAACACATAGAAAAATGATAACTCAAATTAATAATCAAAAGAAACAAATCCATTAATTCAACTTAAACTCAGACTCTTCCTGGAAAGTAATGAGTGTCGTATAAAAGACTCAAAGACTCAGACACGTGAAAAAGCACTAAGGATCAAGTGCAAAAGAAACAAGACCGACCAAAGAAAAAGAACAAAAACTAACTTACTTTTTTAGAAAAGATATCCGTTAGACTTGAAGATATAATCGCTCTGAT